GCTAGGTGCTGCCAGGTACTGCTAGGTGCTGCTAGGTGCTTCTAGGTGCTGCTAGGTGCTGACAGGTGCTGCTAGGTCCTGCCAGGTGTTGCTAGGTGCTGCTAGGTGCTGCTAGGTGCTGCTAGGTGCTGCTAGGTGCTGCTAGGTGCTGCTAGGTGCTGCTAGGTGCTGCTAGGTGCTGCTAGGTGCTGCTAGGTTCTGCCAGGTCCTGCCAGGTGCTGCTAGGTGCTGCTAGGTGCTGCTAGGTGCTGCTAGGTTCTGCCAGGTCCTGCCAGGTGCTGCTAGGTGCTGCTAGGTGCTGCTAGGTGCTGCTAGGTGCTGCTAGGTGCTGCTAGGTGCTGCTAGGTGCTGCTAGGTGCTGCTAGGTGCTGCTAGGTGCTGCTAGGTGCTGCTAGGTGCTGACAGGTGCTGCTAGGTCCTGCCAGGTGCTGCTAGGTGCTGCTAGGTGCTGCTAGGTGCTGCTAGGTGCTACCAGGTGCTGCTAGGTGCTGTTAGGTACTGCCAGGTGCTGCTAGGTGCTGCCAGGTACTGCCAGGTGCTGCTAGGTGCTGCTAGGTGCTGCTAGGTGCTGCTAGGTGCTGCCAGGTGCTGCCAGGTGCTGCTAGGTGCTGCTTGGTTCTGCTAGGTGCTGCTAGGTGCTGCTAGGTGCTGCTAGGTGCTGCTAGGTGCTGCTAGGTGCTGCTAGGTGCTGCTAGGTGCTGCTAGGTGCTGCTAGGTGCTGCTAGGTGCTGCTAGGTGCTGCTAGGTGCTGCTAGGTGCTGACAGGTCCTGCTAGGTCCTGCCAGGTGCTGCTAGGTGCTGCTAGGTGCTGCTAGGTGCTGCTAGGTGCTGCTAGGTGCTGCTAGGTGCTGCTAGGTGCTGCTAGGTGCTGCTAGGTGCTGCTAGGTGCTGCTAGGTGCTGCTAGGTGCTGACAGGTGCTGCTAGGTCCTGCCAGGTGCTGCTAGGTGCTGCTAGGTGCTGCTAGGTGCTGCTAGGTGCTGCTAGGTGCTGCTAGGTGCTGCCAGGTCCTGCCAGGTGCTGCTAGGTGCTGCTAGGTGCTGCTAGGTTCTGCCAGGTCCTGCCAGGTGCTGCTAGGTGCTGCTAGGTGCTGCTAGGTGCTGCTAGGTTCTGCCAGGTCCTGCCAGGTGCTGCTAGGTGCTGCTAGGTGCTGCTAGGTGCTGCTAGGTGCTGCTAGGTGCTGCTAGGTGCTGCTAGGTGCTGCTAGGTGCTGCTAGGTGCTGCTAGGTGCTGCTAGGTGCTGCTAGGTGCTGACAGGTGCTGTGCTGCTAGGTCCTGCCAGGTGCTGCTAGGTGCTGCTAGGTGCTGCTAGGTGCTGCTAGGTGCTACCAGGTGCTGCTAGGTGCTGTTAGGTACTGCCAGGTGCTGCTAGGTGCTGCCAGGTACTGCCAGGTGCTGCTAGGTGCTGCTAGGTGCTGCTAGGTGCTGCTAGGTGCTGCCAGGTGCTGCCAGGTGCTGCTAGGTGCTGCTTGGTTCTGCTAGGTGCTGCTAGGTGCTGCTAGGTGCTGCTAGGTGCTGCTAGGTGCTGCTAGGTGCTGCTAGGTGCTGCTAGGTGCTGCTAGGTGCTGCTAGGTGCTGCTAGGTGCTGCTAGGTGCTGCTAGGTGCTGCTAGGTGCTGACAGGTCCTGCTAGGTCCTGCCAGGTGCTGCTAGGTGCTGCTAGGTGCTGCTAGGTGCTGCTAGGTGCTGCTAGGTGCTGCTAGGTGCTGCTAGGTGCTGCTAGGTGCTGCTAGGTGCTGCTAGGTGCTGCTAGGTGCTGCTAGGTGCTGACAGGTGCTGCTAGGTCCTGCCAGGTGCTGCTAGGTGCTGCTAGGTGCTGCTAGGTGCTGCTAGGTGCTGCTAGGTGCTGCTAGGTGCTGCCAGGTCCTGCCAGGTGCTGCTAGGTGCTGCTAGGTGCTGCTAGGTTCTGCCAGGTCCTGCCAGGTGCTGCTAGGTGCTGCTAGGTGCTGCCAGGTGCTGCTAGGTGCTGCCAGGTGCTGCTTGGTACTGCCAGGTGCTGCTAGGTGCTGCTAGGTGCTGCTAGGTGCTGCTAGGTGCTGCTAGGTGCTGCCAGGTCCTGCCAGGTGCTGCCAGGTGCTGCCAGGTGCTGCTAGGTGCTGCCTAGGTGCTGCCAGGTGCTGCTTGGTGCTGCCAGGTGCTGCAGGTGCTCCAGGTGCTGCTAGGTGCTGCTAGGTGCTGCTAGGTGCTGCTAGGTGCTGCTAGGTGCTGCTAGGTGCTGCTAGGTGCTGCTAGGTGCTGCTAGGTGCTGCTAGGTGCTGCTAGGTGCTGCTAGGTGCTGCTAGGTGCTGCTAGGTGCTGCTAGGTGCTGCTAGGTGCTGCTAGGTGCTGCTAGGTGCTGCTAGGTGCTGCTAGGTGCTGCTAGGTGCTGCTAGGTGCTGCTAGGTGCTGCTAGGTGCTGCTAGGTGCTGCTAGGTGCTGCTAGGTGCTGCTAGGTGCTGCTAGGTGCTGCTAGGTGCTGCTAGGTGCTGCTAGGTGCTGCTAGGTGCTGCTAGGTGCTGCTAGGTGCTGCTAGGTGCTGCTAGGTGCTGCTAGGTGCTGCTAGGTGCTGCTAGGTGCTGCTAGGTGCTGCTAGGTGCTGCTAGGTGCTGCTAGGTGCTGCTAGGTGCTGCTAGGTGCTGCTAGGTGCTGCTAGGTGCTGCTAGGTGCTGCTAGGTGCTGCTAGGTGCTGCTAGGTGCTGCTAGGTGCTGCTAGGTGCTGCTAGGTGCTGCAGGTGCTAGGTGTGCTGCTAGGTGCTGCTAGGTGCTGCTAGGTGCTGCTAGGTGCTGCTAGGTGCTGCTAGGTGCTGCTAGGTGCTGCTAGGTGCTGCTAAGTGCTGCTAGGTGTTGCTAGGTGCTGCTAGGTGCTGACAGGTGCTGCTAGGTCCTGCCAGGTGCTGCTAGGTGCTGCTAGGTGCTGCTAGGTGCTTCCAGGTGCTGCTAGGTGCTGTTAGGTACTGCCAGGTGCTGCTAGGTGCTGCTAGGTGCTGCTAGGTGCTGCTAGGTGCTGCTAGGTGCTGCTAGGTGCTGCTAGGTGCTGCTAGGTGCTGCTAGGTGCTGCTAGGTGCTGCTAGGTGCTGCTAGGTGCTGCTAGGTGCTGCTAGGTGCTGCTAGGTGCTGCTAGGTGCTGCTAGGTGCTGACAGGTGCTGCTAGGTCCTGCCAGGTGCTGCTAGGTGCTGCTAGGTGCTGCTAGGTGCTGCTAGGTGCTGCTAGGTGCTGCTAGGTGCTGCTAGGTGCTGCTAGGTGCTGCTAGGTGCTGCTAGGTGCTGCTAGGTGCTGCTAGGTGCTGACAGGTGCTGCTAGGCCCTGCCAGGTGCTGCTAGGTGCTGCTAGGTGCTGCTAGGTGCTGCTAGGTGCTGCCAGGTGCTGCCAGGTGCTGCTAGGTGCTGCTTGATGCTGCTAGGTGCTGCTAGGTGCTGCTAGGTGCTGCTAGATGCTGACAGGTGCTGCTAGGTCCTGCCAGGTGCTGCTAGGTGCTGCTAGGTGCTGCTAGGTGCTGCTAGGTGCTGCTAGGTGCTGCGAGGTGCTGCCAGGTGCTGCCAGGTGCTGCTAGGTGCTGCCAGGTGCTGCCAGGTGCTGCTAGGTGCTGCCAGGTGCTGCTAGGTGCTGCCAGGTGCTGCTAGGTGCTGCGTGCTGCCCTCAATCCCCCAACCAGAATAATGCAGCTCTGAGCCGCACGCGCAGTTCCAAGGAGCGAGGGGTGTGTGTGGGGGGGTTTTGTGGGGGTGTGTGGTGGGCGTGGGCGGGGTGTGGTTGAGTGCGTGCGTGTGCAGTGTGCGTCTGTTTGTTGTGTGTGTGAGTGAGGATGGGAGGCGATTAGGGCATGGCTCGAGGAGATACGGCTGGTTGCGGGAAGTGGGAATGGGTAGGGAGTGAGATGGGCAAGTGGAAAGGGAGAGTGGAGTTTGGGGAGGTGGTAGAGTGAGAATTCAGGTTAATCAGCTTCAGCAGCTGCCTCTGCTGCTCCCGCTCTCCTCCGCCTCTCCCTTCCTAGCCTCAGCGCCTGAGACTGCTTCTCTTCTTCTCGTGTCCCTCCCTTCCCCAACTCCTCCACATTTGCAGACACTGGCACGAGGCACACACATTGTGCGAGGCACACACCGGTGTTTCTGCGTGCGCCACCCAAGGCCACTGGAGACAGCGCCAGGGAAGGGACAGGCCCTGATGTCAGAGGGTCGTGATGTTGGGTCAGTGGGTGAGTGACCAGGTCTGTTGCTGTCTCCCTTTCACTGTTTCCTCCCATCATTTGCTGTCTCCCTTTCACTGTTTCCTCCCATCATTTGCTGTCTCCCTTTCACTGTTTCCTCCCATCTGTTGCTGTCTCCCTTCCGCTGTTTCCTTCCATCCTTTGCTGTCTCCCTTTCACTGTCGGTGGAACTGCTCTGAAGAGGTCACCAGGGAGGGCACCCTAAGCAATTCAAGCAGGCGAACCGATACGTGCCAGCTGATCGTGCGTCGTGGTTGGCTCTGCATCTCTGCATCTCTGCCGTTATGAAGTCGGCATGGAGGTGGTTTGATGGTTGATACTACAAAAACTCCCCCCCCCCCCTCCCCCCCCCCCCCACCCGCTCGCACTGTTTTTGCAAAAGGGTCTTGTTCTTGCAAACATCTACCGTATTCTAGGCTCTGCTCTGTCAACCTGCACTACATCTGGCCCAGGTGAACATGCTACATTCCGCCATGGCCCTGCTTCTCCTTTCCCTCCGTGCTTCTCTGCCCATCTCTCCTTGCATGGTCCGGTCCAGGCAGGCACTTGATTCCAGCACCTCAATATGGAGGAGCGCACCCAAGGTGGTTTGGCACATGTGTGTGGATTCTTGCTGCTCTACTGTCTGCATGAAGATTATTTATTATCTTGAAGCATTGTGAATGAATAACCTATTATTATGTCATCTCGCAACAACTCTTTACAGCCTAATCAAGTAGCTAAGGTAAGCAGGAGGTTGGTATCACTGTTGTCTCCTTTCCCGATCACAACCAAGGCGCATCACCTCGTCCCTAGTCTCCAGTCTACCCAACACAGCACCTACATGACCGAGCCTCGCTCCCACAGCTCTGGGTCGCCTGGTGTATGCCAGGTGAGGGATCCACTGAAGCGCAGCGCCATGAGACTGGCAGAGCTGCGCGGAGCACTCAACGCCCTCAGCGGCCACCCCGCTGAGCCTGCATCGGAGTCTCCGCTGCTGCTTCCTGCACCTGCTGCTGCTGCCGCTGCTCTGCTGAGCGCCCTTTTCGGTCTTTCCAGGCTTATCTGGGGAAGGGCAGGGACCGCCACGATCTGGATGGCCTCGATTGTCTTCTTCTGAAACTCCATCTGCGCACACAGCTGCTCCACACCTGTGGGGAGCGACACGAGGACGAAGGCAAGGGGGAGAGGAGGGGCAAAGAGATCAGGGATGAGTGGAAGGAGAGGAAGGACGCCAAGATGCAATACGGAACAGTTTTATGTGTGGAGTGGGAACACACCCCGCTCTGTACGTCTGTGCGCCCATACACCTGAATACCCAGATCTAAACATGTGATCCCACTCACTTTCAAGGTTGAGGCACATGGTTGACTCGCTCGCCCAATCAGATTCCGCTCCGCCCTCCTCCTCCCCCGTGTCCCCTTCCCTGTCGTCCTGCTCCGCCTCTCCCCCATGGCTGCCGCCCCACCCGTCGCTCGCGCTGCTAGGCACGCAGCTCACCGCGTCGCTGACGTCTTCAACGACCATTAGTCTGTCCCCTTCTCTTTCCACCTCCTCCGCCCTCGCTGTCGTCTTCTCCTCCGCCTCCTCCTGACGGTTCGCCGCCAAGGGAGGAGCGCGGCTCGCGATGCCACCCCAAGCAGCCATCAAACCGGCGCCACGTGGCAAGTTTCTGCTCGGGATCGAGGCGCTCCGGTGGCGGGAGAACTCTCTCTCCGCCTGCGCCGCCGCCTCCATGACTGATCGCCCCTCCTCCCGTCCGCTTAAGCTCACGCTGCGGAACCCCATCGGCGGGGGCCGCGCGGCGTCTGCGGCGGCGCGTTTCGCGGCAAAGTCCGACTCGGAGCTCCGCCGAGCGGATATAGTCGCGGACTTGGTGACGATCGCGGCGGTCGTAGAGTCGCCGAGGCTGGAGGTTGACGGCTCGCCGCATTCCACGCTGCCAGCGCTCGACACGCTGCGACTGCTGTTACCGGCGATCACAAGGCGGTTCGACTCCAGATTATCGTAGTCTCCTCTAAAGCCGCGCTCCTCACCGGCGGAGTCGGCGGCGATCGGCGGGCGCGGGGAGGAGGGCGGGAGCGAGGAGAGGGATGAGCGCGGCCGGGCGGGTTGGCTGGAGGGGGATGAGGCCGCGTTGGGGGAGGTCACGAACCCCAGGGGCGTGTCGGGCGACGCGCATCGGGAGGCCTGCGCGGCGGCGCGAACAACCTCCGGGCGTTGAGCGGGGAGGATGAACCATTGCGCTTGCTGCGCCGCCATTGGCGCCGCCGGAGCTGCTGCGTTGTCCGTTGATCGCGGGCTCTCCTCATCGCATGGGTATGCCGCATTAAGCGGCGGCGTGTGATCAGGAGCCGTGGCTGGGCGCGCGGGCCTGCCGAAGGTGGTTCCCGGCGAGTGGCGCGGGCTGTTGGAGAGCGCGGAGAAGTCGAAGGGGCATGGGGAGCGCGGGCGGGGTAGCGACGGTCGCGGGGATCTCGCGGGGGCGCGGGAGGCGGACGGCGGTTTGGCGGTGGAGTGATGGGAGAAGAGTGGGAGGACGGGAAACGACGCTGGCGACGAGCAGGACGACGCGTCGTCGCCGAGATTGCTGGACACGTCAGATGGAATGCTAAGCGGCGGCGCGTTGAACGGCTTCTTTGCGTCCAAGGCGCGAATGGTGCATTGCTGCTGCTGCTGTGGCAGCAGCGGGTCGCGCTGAGCCTTGTCGCAACCGCGTGTTGGCAAGGGATGTTGAGGCCGCGGCTTGCTTGCGAGATCTGCGGCGGGCTTGGCGCCGAATGCGATCGGAAACGACGGTCGATCCCGTGATGGCGGCTTTGGGAAAACGACTCCTGGCCCCATGGGTACTCTCTGCCTCGGATCCTCTGAGGAGACGACGCTGTCGTTACACTTCTGGCCACTAACGCTCTAATGCCAACGCAAGGCAGAGGCTCTAACCCGACAGGCGAGACTTGTTGATCAGACTACGTTACAGCTGTACAAAGCCTGTCGTCTACATGAGTGGGGCGCTGCTGTGCTATGGAAGCATTCGAGACGGAGAACAGTACGGCTTTGGTGTCAGAAGACCAGTCTGGAGCAACGCTAGCATGAGATACCGTAATCTGGAAGGAAAAGCCGTCTACCTCGAGAATTGGCACAGATCCAAAGGAAGGTGGCAGTTTCGGTCGAGAAGAGAAGCAGAGAACAGCAGGCAACGAATGCTGCTGTCGCAAACCGAGGAAGCAAGCAGACGAGATAGGGGCGGGGCAGGCATAGGCTGGGGAAGGGAGGGTAGCAGATGTTGCTTGCGACTCTTCGTGTGTTGCTGCTGCTTGTATTGCGAGCGAGCGACCCTTGTGGGTGGATGGATGGATCAGGCAGCAGCAGCCAAGTGTGGGATGGGAATTTGAGAAACGAACATGGACGCCATGGATTGGATCACTGGATGGATCGAACCGTGGCAGGAGGAACTCGTGGTGCTGCTGACACTGGTGCTGCAGCAGGTGGATAGAAATTGGGGAGAGGTGCACCAGTTTTCATCATGACAGGAATGTTTTTGGCAGCCCTCGTTTTCTTCTAGAGCCACTCTCCGTTTCTAGAGCTTCTTTATTTGTGTCCGGGTCGGGGTTATGGATTGAAGGACCCCAGAGCCGTACTGTTTTCTTCTAATTTAACGCCTGGAGCCAAAAAGCACGCATACACCTTGAGAAAATGCTTCGGCTGAATAGTTCGACTGGGGATACGGCGAAAACTGGAGCCTCCAAGAGGCATGTAGAAAACCCGGACAAACCACCCTGAAATTTGAGGGTTGCTACCCTCCCCTCCTCAAGGCTGCTTGCCATGTCAGCGTTCGCTTGTTTTATCATCAGTAATGTGTCGTTTTCTGCTAGCATTTTGTCTCTGGGACCTGCTTCGGGAGCCAGTTGCAAAGCGGCCAACCTTCAATGGCGTTTAAGACCGCGTCGCAAGCGTGTTATATGTGGCTAATCTCCCTTGTTTGAAATGCTAATCATAGAAAACTGGGAGAGATGAAATGACAACCACAAGTTGCTCCTGAGCTGAAGATATCTTGGAGGAATGAAGCGCGTGGCTTGCATTACAATGGTTCACATGTCAATCGGAATAAACAGTTTGCCTGTGGCCTACCCAAATCAACACTGTAGTGTACAGTACCGTATATAAAATCCATTTGATTCCATGGAAACTGTACGTATCAGAACTCAATTTCCGAATACCGCTTATAGCAAGGATGCGGCAAGTTCTGAAGCGCACGGCACTTTTACTTTCATTTTTTACAGCTTGTTACAAGTACTCTATAAAATTAGGTGCATACAAAGGTAAACCCTGATTACCACTGTATAAATGAATGTAAAATCGCGCTGTGTAAACGCACTGCCTGTAATCCTTGGCCTCGCAAAAAATCAGTCTGTTTTCAGACGTGTGATCACCACAACTTGGGGTGCACATCTTACCCTTTCCCCTGCTCATCAGTTTCTGCCTTGCCAACTTGAAATGCATTGGTTCCTTACTTGGAAGGTTGGCACATATGGGTTAGGTCCACCCATTGGGACCCCTTGCTGCTCCAGCAGCTGCAACGCCGAGTCCACATCCGCTTGAGAGACGGACGGGGAGCGGGACAGAAGGCGGAAGGAGATCTGTTGGGGAACACGAGCCGATGAGGATGGAGAAGGTCAACAGAGAAAGAGTTGAGATGTATGCAGTGCCGTGCATTGAACTTGGATGGACAGACCAAGAACGCTGTCAGAGTCACACAACAAATATTTTCAGCGGCCGTCAGGTTGAGATCATTTAGAGCTTGAATTGGGGGCAAAGGCATGAACCATGGCTAGCTTGAAAGTTGCCTGCGTACCTCGGCTGTTCTCCCCGAGCCAATGTTAGCGGGCGGCACGTAGCACGAGTAGATGAGCGCCATGCTGTACGAGTCTGACATGGCCTGGTTGCCCCACAGCCCCGCCACCCACATGTTCTCCACCACGCCCCGCCCGTTGCCGTACGTCACCTGCATCTTGCCCACCTGCCAAGGTCGGGTGGTCGTGGTGGTTTTGGGTGGTTTGGGAATGGAGCAGCAGCAGTTTAAGAGCGGAAAGTGTGCTGCTGTATAGCCGATGAATATACATACGCAATGTCTGCAGTCAAGACCGCGCAATGCAGCGCCAGCAGCGAGCTAAGACAGGAGGGAGGTCACATCCCGTGCAGACAGGCAGGCACTGGAGGGGCGCTGCATTGCCCCGCGCATGTGGGGGGGGTTGGGCGCCGCGCTGTACCTGCGAGGCTTCCACTTGCGAGACGGCGCCGATGGCGGAGTAGGAGAAGCGCATGGCGAGCGGGTTGGAGAACATCAGCCCCGCCATTGGCCGCATTGACGCCGTCGCTGCGCCCATGCGCCCCGTCGCGCGCCCAAACCCGCTGATGTTCCGCGTGAGGCCCACGATGTCGTTCAGGTTCAGCAGCAGCTGGAGGTTGGGGATGGCAGGAGGGGAATTAATCGAAAGATAATCAATAAATTTTGTGAATGATGGCCAGTATCTGAGGAGAGAGTGTACTCGAACGGGGAGAATGCAGGGCGACTGTGACTTCCGCCGCCCAGCACCCCCGTGCTTCGTCTTGAGGCGCGCTCACCGTCTGTTTGCCGCGCAGGTTGCCGAGCTTGTTCTCCACCTTGTTCACGCGGCGCGTGGCGATCTGCGCCGACTTCATGATGCTCACGCGCCCCTTGTTGATGGCCGTCGACTCGCTCTGCAACTGCCGCACGGCGCTCACCAGCTTCTGCTTCGTCTGCCAGATGAAGAACACGCGGTCCATCTGGCTCAGCTGCGCGTTCAGCTGCTGGATGCGCGCCAGCAGGTTGTACGCGCGCTCCGCGTGCGCGGAAACCTGCGCCATGGAGTCCGCGATGTCGCCCAGCGCGACCTTGACGTCCGCCTCGACGTCGTTCGGGAGCTCCGCCCACGAGAGCGTATTCTGCGCGTTGTTTACTTGCAGCGTGGCGGAAGAGCCCTGCGCGGGGGGACGCGCGATGGCGGCGCAGACCGCGCGCAAGTGGTCGCGCACTGCGAGCGAGGACTTGGAGAGGCCCTGGATCTGCGACTGGCGCGCGGGCGTGGTCATGCGGATGCCGCGCTTCACAACGCTGGGGAAAACGGGATTTGGGGGGGGGGGGAGGGGGGATGGCGGGGAGAGGGGAGGGGGACACACGGGAAAAAAGTTGTCGCACGAGGCGGAGTGAGGAACAAGGAGAGAGAGAGGTGAGAGGAGAATGATGATGGAGGGGGTCAAGAGACGGCACGAGAGGCGGAGGGTTGCGGAGCAGCGACGCAGCACGATCAAAGAGGTGGGTAGAGGCGAGCGGGCGGCGTGCGGGTGGGCACCTGAATCGGTTGAGGCTGTGGTTGATGCCCTGGAAGACGAAGTTGTAGGTGACGCACGACATGCCCAGCTCGCCGCTCACCTCCAGCTTCGACTCCGCCGTCGACCCGATCTCGTACCACTTGCCCTGCCGCAATGCCACGCGCACTCAACGTTACTCCAGGCCCGAGGACTAGAATGCTAGGGACGGCGTGCATGCTCACTCAGAACTCCCGAGTAAACAGATTTGGGACATATAGAACAAAGCAGAGCCAAGAAGATGACTTTCGAGGCGCCTCGAAAACAGAAGTGGGAAATACAGTACAAGGCAGTGCCACGAAGGTGTCCGGGAAGCGGAACCTAGCGTTCTAGAACTACCGTAATTTTCAGCCCCACGAAATACGGCACGCAGCGATTGTTAACGGAACAAACCAGCACGATGGTAGTCGTAATGGGATTGAGTAACTTGCCAACGCGCGGTATGGAGATTCATGGGCGATTGGTACAAGAGCTAGAGGCTTATGGGCAGAGTCTGTTTGAAACGCTGACTGGACAAGCGTAGCAACTATGCCAGCGTTTTGCGTGTAACCGCTTCGAGGCGCACGCGCGGTTACCTGGAAGAACTCTGCCATGAAGGTGTTGCTGGTCTGCACGTCGGGACACGCCCCCACCGTCTCCTTCACCAACTCCTGGCAGAAGTACGTGTCCCCCGCTCGTGCTCGCTGCCACGCCGCGCACCACACCGCGAAGCACGCTAGCACAGCGGTAAGGCGGCCGCCGGGGCCTACTCGAGAAGTTAAGGGCATGGTGGAGGCGAGAAGGGGTGACAATGCGTGGCTAGGCGGGATAGGATATTACTGCCAGCACGTCCTGATGCAGGTCAGCACGAAGGCTTCAGTTACTGGGGGCGTCGGGTAAGGCTCAACTACGCCAGTTAGTTTTAGATTGAACTGTGCTTAACTACGCCGGTTTAATTACGGTTATAAAAAATGAGAGGTGAAACATGTCACATTCGACACGGGGAACAGGCAATACGCTATCGTTACGATCTATCTCGCCAACCTATCTGCATAAACCACCTCGATGCTTCTACGCGATTGAATGAAGTGATGAGCTGCAAGGACGTCTGATCGACGGATGCGGACTTCTGAATCTGAATGCTTTGTCGGCCTAGGAGAGTCAATGTGATCGAAAGAGAATAGCAAAGCAGGGAGTTGATTGATTTAGGAAGGTCATTCTTTCAACTGGGGTGCTGGTGTGGAGGCGACATTGGCGGGCCAGGAAACTGTGAGTGCGCCAAATTCCAATTGACAAGGACAACATTGGAAATTCGAAATTGTGATGAGTGCGACGCGATTGCTACATGCGCGCCTTGAGAACGCGCGCCGTAAATATTCGCGTCGCCATGCGTGAGTGATCGTTTGGAATCACCTGGACGCGAACATGGCAGTAGACGAAAACGGCGAGCGTGTAACTTTCATCCGCTCAGTAGAACAACCGCCAAATATGATCAAGTGTTTGTCTAGAACTGTGAGTACCTGTATAGAACTTATTGAAGCTATATTGCTTATGTAATCCATTAATCACAAAGCCACCAGAAGTGGATAAATCAGGCAGTCAAAATCAAATCCTATCAGTTGGAGCTAGCCGTTCTTCGGCCTGGCTAATTAGATCACAACCTACTAGTATCCATGCTGGTCAGTTCCCCCACAAACTATTGCATGTCACTTCGTCTTGATTTGCGCTGATGAAGATGTTCGCTTCCCCCAGTACAATGCCTTGTGTTTCCAGTTGGGAAAGCTGGGCATCAATCTCCGATTGGCTGACTGATGGTGTGCGCGCCAGTATGGACACCGAGAACTGGGCAAAGAGCACCAAATGCAAGGACATTGGCTCAGAAATGTACAGCTGCAGTTCTTTCCCCATATATCTTTGGAAGGGCTGAAACACATTGTTCTATGGAAGCAATTCAATCTGCTCACCTGGCCGGCATCACATGACACAATGGTGGTCATGTTGTATGAGGAATCTGCATCTCCTTCAAGTTTGTTGATCAGGTAGTTGTTACTCCGAGCGAATCCAAAGAGGCTCACTGCAAACTTCCCAGGCTGTCCAAGAGCAGCAAGGCGAGACACACAAGAGCTTATATTGAAGGGACTGACAGTAGCATGTGGGCTATCCTCAATCAATAATAATAGCAATGAATCGACGCTCCTTCCCTCATCTCACCTGCTGTCTGTCTTGCACGGCTTGCATGCGCAGCTGGGTCTGGGAATTCCAGGGGAAGGGCGATGGGAACATGGTGAGGGAGGGCGCGAGCACCGACGCCGCCAGCAGACGAATCACAGTCGTCGCCAGGCCCACCTTCCCTCGCACCCCCAGTTCCCACGACGCACGTGCCAGGAACCCAGACAGCCGGGAGGTGAACCTGGTGGCGGCGCTGCTGTTGGCGGCGGGCAGCATGAGCTGCATCTGCAGCACGGCCAGGCTCCCCCTCATCCCTGCGCGCCGAGCCTTGCCAGCAGCAGCGATGATGCGGTTGGCTGCGTCTGCAAGCCCCTGCTTGGTGACGTCCAGCCCGGGGTCCTGCGGATCGTTGAACGTGCTTGCGCGGTTGTTGTGCTGCTGCAGCGCGCCGAGCTGCCTGTAGATCGCCAGCGCCTGCTGTGACACAGTGGCGCTAGATGCAGCAAGTATGCCCGCAGCCTCAGCTGCAAGCGCGGTTCCGTTGGCTTGCTGGGAGAACGGGTTTGTGCTGTTGCTGCTGCTCGTGCTGTGGTCGCTAGTGGGCGTATCCCCGCTGCTATCTGCGCCGCTACCGTTTCCGTCATCCCTACTCGCCCCCTGAGGCCCGGGCACAAGCATTGCCTGTAGGGAGGCGTGCGCCTTGGCGCTGTAAACGGCCGCCTCGCATACTCGGCGCAGGTTGCGCGAGATGCGCCCTGCTGCCGCGGAAATGCGCCACACCTACGCGGAGGAAGAGGAGGGGGGGAGGGATGGACGAGGAGATTGGGTATAGCTGACGAGATCGGGTTTCTCGACGGCTAGCTAAGCAGGATCGAAAGAGCACGCAATGCACGAGCGTGTTGCATTCTGGGCGGGTCGCAGTGTGGCGCACCTGATCGGCTCGAAACGGACTGACGGTGCGAAGGCCGCGACTGAGGAACCTGGTACCGGCAAGGGGAGCACAATGGACGAGGGCAGGTGGCGTGAGGTTGGGTTGTGGCGTTTGGGAGGGATGGCGATGATAGGAAAACCGCTGCAGATAGAATTCTTACGAGTGTTCACGCCCCTTTGTTTCCCGCCACACACGCTTCTTATGTCAAGAAAGGGATGCGGGGTTCGAAGCTTACCCAGCAACGTTTCTGCCGTCAGTGGCGGCGGCGAGCGCGGAGTACTTGGCGGCGTTGCACGAGAGGCCGCTCGCCGTGCTGAACTTGTGCAGCGCGCTACTGCCCACCTCGAACCACTCGCCCTGCGGCCACACACAGTGCCACGCGCTTTTTTGGAGTCGGAATGACAAGAGAACGAGAGCATGTGGTTGACTAGAAATGACTAGGAAAGAAAAGAGCCGCGAGCTTGCTCACACTCAGCAGCCTAACACCCTCCCTGCCACAGCTTTGTCCTGCCCCATGACGCCTACCGTGAATTTCCCCAAGTCCAGTGAGTTGACCGTCGATACTTTCGGGCATCGATTCGGGAACTGCGCTATGAAGGTGTCGCAGAAAGCGGCGTGAGCTGTTGATATCAAAGCGACAAGAATGACTGACGTCAGTACGTAGACTAGGCATCTTCGTCGTAGCAGTGCCATAAGAATCAGTCCAGGTAATCGACCAGAGATACTAAAACAGGCCACAGTCTAAGTCTCACTAGAAGGCGCGAGAGAATCCGCGACTTCGAATTTAGTTACTCCTTGGAGCAGGCGTTTCTCATCGTACACGAATGAGCCTTTTTTGCGGAAGAGCAAAACGCGTGCCTAGCCTTGACCAGGAAAAGCAAGAAACAATTCAAGTGGTGAGGTGAGTCGAGGCGCAAAAAAACAAAAATGCGGCGGGAAATGCCACCCGTTCCACCCAATGCCATGGCTGAAGCGACACGACGATGGCCCTGTGGGTTTGCGTGCGACGCGAAAGCAGATGGCACACGAATTCTTTTCAGTTCAGCAACCCCATAAACGAAAATGGTCATCGAGTTGAAATAAATACACCTCATGCCAGTAAAACATATCCATACTAGCTACCAACGTCCATAAGTATACTGATAGGGCTAACAACGTGTCATAAAAAAACAAATTAGCACATTTTATTAAAAATTCATGTAAATAGATTGAAAATTTTTATTAAAAGGTTGTAGAATGGATTCATTCAAGTCTTCATATACTTTCTATCGAACTCCCATACATGTATCAAACTCTCGTGTATTTCCCCTGATAGGGGCGTCAAGCAAAATCGTCCCACCCCCACCCGCATTCCCCGGAGCTGCGGATGTACGCCTCCGTAGCGCAGGGTGGCGCTCATGTTGCGCTTTCAGGTGTTGACACGGCACGCCATTGGCTGATCCCGATGGGTCCACGAGTCGCAGCTTTCGTTATGTTTGCGCCGCACTCTGCGCCCTTTTCAACCAGCCCGGAAATGTCTGCACCGCTTGATGCTTGAGCTTGACCCAAGGCAACGCATGGCGGGGGCACAGCACAGCTGCGGAAGAAACGCCACTGGACAGAACTCGACATTTCGCGCCAACTGTGTTTGTGGCTGACAGAATTCCATCCAGGGACTTGTGCTGGATGAAAGGCGTGCGTGACCTATGTGAATTATTAGGTCACACTAAAAGCACCAGTAGGCTACAACTGTCAGCTATTGCTACTTCCGTTCGCGACGCTGCATCGTCTTCATAGTAACAAAGCTCGCACTCTCGTCACGGTTAATTCAAATCAGATCGAACAGTTTCTGTTCCTCTGCTAGCGGCATGGGCGCAGAACCGGACTCGAAGAGCGAATCGACGCTGGACGAATCGGTCCAGGTGGCCGATGCGTACGACGACGACGAGGAGTCGCAATACGCGTCGGTCAGCAAGGTGGGTCGTCCACGTCGCATGGCGTCGCAGGATAGAAGCGGTCTGCGATGTTTGTTCACGGCGATGGGTCGCGATATTGCGGCGCGCTCGTAGTGCGGCGGAGATGGCGCTGCAGGGGACGGGTAACGAGTGCGGCTCGAGTGGAGGCCACGACGCTGCGGAGGACAGAAAGGGCGCGGTTTGCGAGGGTACAGAGGGGTGGCCGCGCGGTCGATGAGAGAGGCCGCGCGTTTCACTCGAGCTCCTTCCATGCCCCACACTCTCCTCGCGCGCCATTCGACTTTTTCATCGCCGCTTACTCACCCCCGCCACCCGCATTTATTCTCGCCGTCCCTGCGCCTCCGCCCCACCCCCTCGTGTGGTCGCAGCAAACAATCGCAGCGAGCGCGCGTTACACGACCGTGCGACAGCTCTTCACGTCGCCCGCCGACTACGGTCAGCCACGCGCCCTCCCCCCTCTATCACCTCCGTCCCTCCCGCTCGCCTCTCTCTCGCTTCTCGCCTTCCTACATTCGCAACTTCCGTTCGCCGTATCCATCTCCCGAAGCTTTCACCGTAATGTTCCTCTTCCCACCTGCCCACCTCCTCCCTCAATCCCCCCTTGCCCCCTCTTTCCCTTCCACGTCCCCCATCCCCTTCCGCAGACCCGTCGCGCGAGACGCACTACGTGCTGGTGGTGCACGGCACGTTCGACTCCCCGCCTGGCCCGGGGAGCCCGCCGCCGTGGTACTTCCTGGACGCGAAGCGCGCCGATAACTTCTGCCACCTCATCGCCAAGGACCTCGCGCGCACGCCGCTCGGCTTCGACGCCGTCTGGCGCACACTGCCCGGTGCGCGGGGGGGGGGAGCGTGGGGGATGCGGGGGGTGGGGGGCAACGGGAGGCGGGGTGCACTGCGCAAGTCAAGCCCACAAATACCGCAGCGGGCCAATTTTTCACGCTTAATTTTGCCCTGGTCCTTTTTGAAATTCTTGAAGGCGTGTTGGCGGAGATGGCAATTGGCGAGATCCATTAACTTCACCTCCCGCGTTCTCTCCTCCGCTTTCCCCGCCCCGCACCCCCCCCTCACTGCTCACTTCCCCCTCTCCCCTTCTCCCCGTTCCCCGTGCGCGCAGACTCGCACGCGGGCATGCGGCTGCGCGAGGACGTGCCGTACCCGTTCCACTGGTCGGGGCACAACACGCACGAGGCGCGCGTGCAAGGTCAGCGCGCCTAGGCTGGTGTGGGGGGTGAGCTAGCTCAGGGGAAAGGGGGGAGTGAGCGCCTGGGGGGAATGGATGGCAGGGGTTTGAACGTGCCGGGGGGAGGGTGTGCGGCAAGGAGCTTAGATATCGGGACACGGCACTACACAGGCCGGCCCGGCCGTACTTGTTCGTCCCGCTCGCCTCTTGCCCTTCCCAAGCCGTCCTTTTGTTCCGCCAATGCCGCCACCACTCAGTACCGCCCCGAACTCCTCTGCCACCCCCCCCCCCCGCTCCCCCCCCACCGCGCCCCTCGCGCAGCGGGCAAGGCGCTGGCGCAGCTGATCCACGCGGTGGGGCGCGCGGACCCGTCTGCGCGCGTGCACGTGGTGGCGCACAGCCACGGCGGCAACGTGGCGCTCAAGGCCGTCTCCAAGTACCTCTCCATGCTGCGCCGCGACTCGCGCGACTCTGGGCGCTCCTCCCACGACCAAATCAGCTCCGCGTTCTGGGAGGCGCACACGGAGGGGTACCGGCGCATCAGGGAGCACCAGGAGGTGAAAGTGAGCGCCGTGTGGATGCTCGCCCTCGCGCCCTTCCTCGTGCTCAAGCGCCCGTGGCGGGGCGACGAGGCGCTGGGCGGGTTCCCCTACGCCTACTTCCAACGCGTTGACTCGCTGCTCGGCCTCCCCAAGTCAGTGCCGCCGCCCCAACTGCTCCACACCGCACCACACACCCCTCACTGCCCTCCGCTCATTGAAGGGTGTATGCTTACCTGCACTCACTCTCCATCCCCCTACACTCTGCTCCTGCTTTCCACTTCTGACTCCCTCCGTCACTCCCTTGGTCTCTCCCACCCTGTTCTCCCATGACCGAGCCCATCACACTAACCCTGCACCCCCCTCTCCCCTCCTCCCCCAGGATACGGCAGGCCAAGTACCTGCGGAAGAAGTGGGCGGGGAGCAGCAGCACCAACTGTCTGGGGCGCATGGTGTTCCTGGGAACGCCCTTCTACACCAAGCACTGGGACCCGCAGGCCGCGCTCACCATGGCCGCCACCATCCTGGGGCTCTCCGTGCTCGTGTTCGTGGTCATCGTGGGCGCCGTGGTGTCGGTCAAATATGCCATCTTCCATGAAGTCAACACGGCTGAACTCACCGGCGGCGAGGTCAGCTCCCCACCCCACCCCACTCTTTCTGTATCTCCCTCTCCGTGCTGGTGTTCGTGGTGATCGTGGGCGCCGTGGTGTCGGTCAAATACGCCATTTTCCACGAGAACAACACCGCTGAACTCACTGGCGGAGAGGTCAGCTCCGCGCACACCCCAGCGCCCCCCAATTCTGCATCGCCCGCCCTCACTGCCTGCCTGCCTGCCTGCCTGCCTGCCTGCCTGCCTGCCTGCCGGCCTGCTAGCCTGATCCGCCTCATCCATCCCATTCTGCCTGGCGAGCTATACTCCACACGCGCTCAATCCTCCCTGTCCTCGCCCTGCCCCCTCTCCCCTTTCCTCTGCGCCACATCACCTCGCTGCCCTTGTGTGCTCCACGGCTGCAGCTCACATTCTTGGTGACAGTGGCGCTGGTGTCAGTAGCAGTGGTGCTGCACAACACGTTGAGCAGCAAGCGCTACAGCGCCAACTAGCAAGCCATCCGCCACACTCTCTCACTCCCCCCTGTCCTCACCCTGTTCCCCCATGGGCCTCGCAGCTGACGTTCTGGGTGACGGTGGCGCTGGTGTCAGTGGCTGTGGTGGTATACAACACGTTGAGCGGCAAGCGCTACAGCGACGGCAACGTCTACTTCACGGAGAAGAAGGCGTGGAGCCCTGCCATGAGCGCACTCGTGCTCAACGCGGGGAAGCTTGATGAGGCTGCTCTTGCGCTCTCCACGGAGCCTCTTGTTCGTGCATACCTCATGCCGCAAGTCAAGGTATGTGTGCTCATTCTTGCAGCCAAACCGCCATGCTCGCTCCCCTCCACCACCACCTCTTCTCCCCACCACCTCCCGTGCCCCCCCACTCTTCCCTCCGCCCATCCCGATCCCCTCTATCCTCCATTCCCCACAACCCATGCCCGTGTGCCCCAGACCATGCTGACGCCAGACCCATGGCGCATGCTGCGCCCATTCCCCGCCAAGACATGGCTGGTATCTCTAGCCAACCTGTACAACAACTGCTGGGTGGCGCTGTGGACGCTCGTGCTAGCAGTGCCGTACATCATCCTGTGGCTGCTCAACTTCTTTCTCGTCCCCTACTTCTGCAACCAGCTGCTGCGCCTCTTCATCACCCTCGGCTTCGGCCTGCAGAAGGTACGCCCCCTGCCATGCTCCCTGCGCCCTGCACCCTACCTGCCAGCATGTGCAGATGTACTAGCTTAGCACGTAAGGACAGTGACTGCGCACTTGCTCTTGCTCTCTGCCATCTCTCTCCACCCTCTCACCATTCCGTCTCTCCCCTGCACGTGTCCTGCTGTGCTGCGTGGTGGGCCACGGCACGGGGGAGCAGAACGAGTTGGACTGCGCACAGGTGTACGTGGAGGAGTGGTTGCCAGATTCTTACAGTCACCACCTCACTATCCCTTCCTTCCTTCCCCTGCACATGTGCTGTTGTGCTGCATGGCAGAACGAGTTGGACTGCGCACAGGTGTACGTGGAGGAGTGGCTGCGCCTGCCCGCAGCGACGCACAGCATAGCGCATTGGAACGTGCAGAAGATTCTCACCGCTGCCACGCTCGACAAGCTCAAAGACCTCCGCAAACGATGTCAGTCCCTGCCCCCTCCCCTCGCTCACCCCACTCCCTTGTCACACACCCTCACCTGCTTCGAGCCCTTCCCCACAACCATAAGTTTTCCTGTGCCCTCCCTCTCCCCCCTCCCCCTGCACTGCCCACACCTTCCCCTGCCATCACCCCCTCTGCTTCCGACCTTGTCAAACTCCATCCCTCTCCTCGCCCTGCCTTGCTGCCACTTCTCCTACACCCTGCATGCGCGCTCACTCCCCTTCTCCTCCCTTTCTCCCTCCTTCCCCTCCCCACTCCCCTCCCCTGTGTGCGGCATGGTGACAGCGGTGATACCGGGCGAGGCAGCGGCAACGGAGGAGGCGCTCATGGAGGCGCACACGCAGCTCGTGGACCCGCATGTCATCGCACAGCGCTGGCGCTTCCTCTGGGTGAGTGGGCCTCCCCATGCTTTGAGTTGACTCAAAGGCGCACACGCAGCTCGTGGACCCGCATGTCATCGCACAGCGCTGGCGCTTCCTCTGGGTGAGTGGGCCTCCCCATGCTTTGAGTTGACTCAAAGGCGCACACGCAGCTCGTGGACCCGCATGTCATCGCACAGCGCTGGCGCTTCCTCTGGGTGAGTGGGCCTCCCCATGCTTTGAGTTGACTCAAAGGCGCACACGCAGCTCGTGGACCCGCATGTCATCGCACAGCGCTGGCGCTTCCTCTGGGTGAGTGGGCCTCCCCATGCTTTGAGTTGACTCAAAGGCGCACACGCAGCTCGTGGACCCGCATGTCATCGCACAGCGCTGGCGCTTCCTCTGGGTAACTGCTGCCCGCCCTGCTTGCCTGCTGCCCGCCCTGCTTGCCTGCTCTTCCATGCATGCACTTGCGCTAAGGACACCTGCGTTCCTTTCCAAGCGTGCATGCCCCATGCTCACTGCACCAAGAATGTCGCGTGCATGTGGCCCCATGCTCACTGCACTCAACCCCACCACTCCCCTTGCTCATGCCTCTTTGTGTGCCATGTGTGGCATGCCATGCATGCCATGCAGGACGATGCGGAGTTGGAGAGGAAGGCGGAGGAGTCAACGACGCTGGCGCTGCTCAAGAACCAAGTGGATAAGATGGCGCACAACCCTCGCATCTCCAGGTGATCTCATTGCCTGCACAGCCACGCAGACGCCACCTTTGTCAGCCGCACACACACAGCCTTCCCCCATCCCCACTGCCATCTCACATGTGCGACTCTTGTTCCCCGTCCCTCCCCCCATGCAGAGTGGCGTTTGAGCGGGAGTTGAAGGTGGTGTGTGTGACCCTGGAGGACATGACGGGCAACGTGGGGCTGTCTCACCCGTGCCCCTCTAGTTACCCGCCCCCCTTCCTCCCCCTCCCCTCGGTCCCTTGTCTCCCCCCTTATACAGAGTGGCGTTTGAGCGCGAGTTGAAGGTGGTGTGTGTGACACTGGAGGAGCGGTACAAGGACATGACGGGCAACGTGGAGCTCTCCCCTCTGCTCACGTCCCCCTTCCTCCCCCTCTCCCCTCAGCCCTATTTCTCCTTTCCTCAGAGTGGCATTCGAGCGCGAGTTGAAGGTGATGTGCGTGACACTGGAGGAGCGCTACAAGGACATGACAGGCAACGTGGGGCTGTCTCACCCATGCCCCTCTTGTTACCCGCTCCCCTTCCTCCCCTCCCCTCAATCCCTTTGTCTCTCCCCATGCAGAGTGGCGTTTGAGCGGGAGTTGAAGGTGGTGTGTGTGACCTTAGAGGAGCGGTACAAGGACATGACGGGCAACGTGGAGCTGTCGCACGGCAGCTACTTCCGCAACCACGTGGTCATCGCTGTCATCGCTCACTTCCTCGCACACGGGGAGGTGCCCTCGTGGGCCCCGCAGCTGGGCGAGATGACGCCGCCTGCCGAGAAGCCGGTGAAGAAGGGCCCCATGTCGCGCCTCTTCAGCCGCCGCATCACCCCCACCACTGATGAGCTCAACGCTACCTCCTCGCAATAACAGCGGCACCCGTGGGGGGCTAAAGACAAGGAGTCCTCTATGCACATACGGCAGTGGCAGCAACAGACAGCAGGGACTCGGGTGGAATGCTTTAGGTGTGTGTGCTGAGGTGCTGTCAGCTGAGGCTAACACAAGCTGGCCCTTGGGGCTGGCACATGGTTCCTCTCAAGCATAGACAGTGTCTTGTCTTGTAACATGTACACTGTGCATGGTAGGACTCATAAGGCCACACTGCGTGGCCAGTAGCCCGGCCTAGTGTTTAGGCACTCTATGTATATTAATGTTAAAACACTGCAAGGCTCAAGCCGTTTGCATTGGTGCGTCCCACAAACTGAAGGAAGAGATGAGAAGCCTTGGAAGGCAATGAGAGGCTTTGACTTGATACTACCTGCATGCAAGCAAGCTCATGGTTTACAGGAAACACAAGTACCGTAGAGACTCTGCACAGTGCACCAGAATGAGGCACACTAACTCCCAACAGGCAAGGCAAGGGGTGCCTTGGTGCAACTACATAGTAGTCCTTCCCCACACCCATGCACCATTCCCCTGTCATTTCCCTGCTTCAGCTTCACCCAGAACCTCCGCAGGAGCCACAGCCTCAACTTCAGCCCGCACCCTAGAAATGCCTACCGCAGCAATAGCAAGTGCGCCGCTGCGTGTCAACTGGCAGACGCAGTGGCAGCGGCGGCGGAAGAGGCGGAGAGGGAGGAGGCGGCGGCAGCGGAGGATGAAGGGGAGACGCCGAACTGCGAGTGGAAGTCAGCGTCAGTGAGTCCCACGATGTGCTGGATGCACACGGCGTGCGAGCCAAACGTCTGCAGGATCTCGTGGTGCGAGCGCCCGAACTTGCGCAGGCGCCGCTCGTTGTCCGTCGTGATCACATCGTCGTGCGCGCGGATCGCATACCCCGCCGCCAGCAGCACGGCGCAGCGCGGGCGGATGCGCGAGTCGAGCGAGTAGCCCAGGTAGGCGGGGAAGTTGAGGACCTCGAAGCGGTCGAGGCCGAGCTCTTCGAGGAAGCGGAACTTGGGCAGCAGCACCTTCTCCCAGCTCAGCGTCAGCGCCTGCGGGAACGCGTTCACCAGCTTGTCCGTCGCGGCGGGGTCGAGGAACATCTCGAGGCGCGAGTACTGCCGCATGAGGCGCTTGGTGTCGATGGTGAGCAGGCCGGGCGCGACTTTGAAGACGTTGGAGAGGCGGTGCTTGTGGAAGATGGAGGCGAGGTACTGGATGCGCTGCACGATGGCGTCGCGCGACATCAGCAGCACCAGCGGCTTCTTCAGCAGCACGTCGGCCACTTGCTCCGGCGCGATGAACTGCTTCAGCACCTCCACGGTCTCCGTGATCTGCGCCTGCGACAGGCCGAGCACGCGCGGCTGGCGCTCGATCATGCGGTAGATGTCGCGGCCCTCGCCCACGATGTACTGCAGCTTGGCGAGCGACGGCGTGATTTCGCTCTCGCTGAGCTCCATGATGCGCGGGAAGCGCAGCAGCACGCGGTGCACCTTGTCGCGCTCCACGCCCAGCGACTCGAGGTACGCCACCATGTCGTAGATGCGCTGCACGGGGCTGTGCAGCCAGCGCGGCTCGCGCACGAGCGACGACGCGACCTCGCCGAGCGACGAGCCCAGGTCGAGCAGCACGCGCAGGCGCGCGAGGATGTCGACGACGCTCAGCTGCAGCACGTCCGGGTCGCTCGATATCGCCTGCGCCACCTGCTGCTTGCCCAGCCCCAGCGCCAGCAGCAGCCGCACCACCTTGGTCTCCCGCGAGTCGCATTTCCGGTCGAGCATGGCTACCGTGTCGTCCACGAGCCCCACGCTGATGGACCGCAGCTGCGGCCATTCCGCGTCCACCGAATCGAAATGCTCCGACGATTCCTGATTCTCCGACGCATTTTCTAACGAAGCGCCGCTGTCCGACGCGCGGGGAATAAATGTTCGCGACGCCGACGAGTGAAGGCTGAGCCTTTGCAGACCACGCTCTATCAGCGAAACCCCGGCCAATCGGGAGCTTTGTGACTGACCGAAAGACGCGGTTACTGGAGAAAATTCTTGCAATAATGACGAGCCTACACTTGCTATTGAGTGAGCCAAGTGCGCTTCCGCAGCCATGGCTCCTCCTAGCGGTCAGACCAAGGACGAGACTAGGTCTTGTTACCCTAGAAACGAGAGGGAGAGCTAGAGGGAGGGAGCTAGTGGGAGTGTAGGTTTAGGGAGGAGCGGATGGAGTGGCGAAGGGGAGGGAGATGGGGGAGGGAGGGCGCAGCAGTTCCCTTGGGAGCCAGACTTCAAATCTGTCTGTCTACAAACGAGGGATTCCGATTCAAACATTCAAAATAACGACGCTTCCACAATAATGCGAAACAAACGATTTATGCACAATAATATGAACAAAAGCCGCACTGCAAATTATCAAAATGTCCCTGCTGATGTGGCCGAGAACGTTTCCAAGGCTCCACGTGGAGACTCTTCGGATTTGGCAATCCCCAAAAATATTGCGCTGAGCGCGGCAACCTGCCAAGCAAGCCAAGCGCATTTCCCTTCGAATCCCACCACCACCTTGTCTAGTCCCAAGGCCAGGGAGGGGTAACAAGCAAATCGTGAATCCTGATTCACAAAATAGCCGTCGCCCAGAAGCTAAAGAGGTAGTGAGAGAGGCGCTAGTACCGACCCCTCATCGCTATCACTTCACTCACAAGCAGCTAGTGAGCAACGGTTGGTTCCGCGCATAATTCCTCCTTAGACCGCCGCGGAGAATCTGCCAGAATGCAGAGTGTGATTGCACTCGATGCGACGCGTCAAATTCCACGTCTTGGCTTGGCGCAGCCGCTATCCAGACAACCATGTCGAGCGGATCGCGTGAGATCGCTCGTCAGTAGAATGCCAGGAGGGCTCAAAGCCGCGACAACGAGCGATCATCGAGTCACGATGACACTGCCGGCCGCGCATGCCTCGGCTGCTCTGGCTCTCCTCCAACCAGGTGGGCGGCCCCAATCCCTGGCTCTCTGATTTTCTGCGAACCAACCAGACGGCTCATTTCTTCGTTGTCTCGTACCGCCACTCGATTCCCGCCTCTCCCAATCCCTCGCTCGGTTCTGATTCGTCTTAACTTCGCCTTTTCCTTACATGCCCTCCTGTTGGCCCGTCTCGCGTGCCCTGCGCTGCAGACATGGCTCGAGCTTCAGAGGACGTGTCGTTGCCGCTAGCATTGCTCAACCCGGCCTATGACATGGTGAGTGCGTACGCCGCTGGCCGCTGGCCGCTGGCCTGGGGTCCATATCTCTCATACTCTCGTGCTTGGTCGAGATCGCGGGCCGTTGCGTTTGCTTTCGTTTTCCTAGACCGGAAATCATCCTTTGTGCGCATGCCCGGCGCCCCTCCCGTGTCCCCCGGTGCGCGGCGTGGCGGCGCAGGTGGCGGAGGCGGCGCCGCTGGAGTTCAGCGTGCTGTTCCTCTACCTGGGCGGGCTGCTGGCGCTACTGGGCTTCGGCACGTTCCTCGTCGTGCGGCAGGTGCTCGTCAAGCGCGAACTCGAAAACGCCGCCAAGGAACTCCAGGTGAGGCCACGCCGGGAGATGCGCGTGAGGAAGAAGGGGGAATAAGGGTATGGGATGAGGAGAGGCTAGAATGCCATTAACTGGTGAAGGGAATGAGGCAAACAACAATGGGGGGTTAGGGCGAGCGAGTTGGGGGATGAAACATGGCAGCAATGACACATTGGGGTTAGAGAACACCAAGAATCTCGCACGTACAGAATCCAAAGGCGTTGGATTTGTGAACCTCTCGACTTGATCCCTGTCCTCCCCCTCCCGCGTGTGGCGTGGTTGCTTTAGGATCGCGTGCGGTCGGGCGAGGCGACGAGCGAGGAGTATTTCGAGCTGGGCGCCATCATGCTGCGCAAGAAGTTCTTCGCCGTCGCCAACAAGTACCTCGAACTCGCCATCGCCAAGTGGGAGGGCGACGAACAGGAACTCGCTCAGGTGCCGCGCAGGGTGGGAGGGTGTGAGGCACGGGGGGAGGGGGCGGGTGTGGGGCACGGATGGGATACCTGATAAGAATGCAAGCATGACGTGGCACGTCTACAAGCATGGGCATGCGGGTTCACGGATGCACACATGCACATGCCTGTATGCACAAGCACGCATGCATACACCTGCATGCACACGCATGCGTGCGTGCACGTGCTCAAGCATGCACGCACGCACACACACACCAACACCACCACCCCCACTTCCTTCCCCCCTTCCCCACACAACATGCACGAGACAATTAATGAAAGGCACATGCACACTAACATATGCCCCTGCACACAGCAGCCCCACTGCTCGTTCAACCCACCCTCCCACCCACGCGCCCGTGATTTCCCTCGCTACCTAAGCCTCGTGCTGCACGCCTGTGCCACTTCTCCTGTGCCTGCACGCCTTGCCCACTCCCCTGCCGCCCTGTCTCCCCTCTCCCTGCGCGCCCCCCGACCTCTCTCCCCTGTGGCATGCGGTGGGTGGGAGCAGGTGTACAACGCGCTGGGGTTCAGCTACTTCAGCGAGGAGAAGATGAAGGAGGCGGTGAAGGCGTATGAGAAGGCCGTCAGCCTGCAGCCCGCGTACGTGACGGCGTGGAACAACCTGGGAGACGCACTGGAGAGGCAGAAGGAGTGGGCGCGTGCTCTCAAGGCGTACGACACAGCGCTGGTGTATGACCCCTCCAACCGCATTGCTGCGGGCCGCGCCAAGGACCTCAAGCAGCGTGTCGACCGGCTACGCTACTGATGCCCCGCCTCCCCCTCTGCTGCACACTGCGTCACCTGCCTTTGAATAAAACACTGGTTTTACTAAGAAAAGGTGTGAAAATGGAGGAGCCAAACAAAGCCCGCTGTGCTCTAGTGTTTTGGGAGTGTTAGCTTCCTGAGTTTTCTGTTGTGAGCTAGATCCTGTTTGTAGCATTGCTTTTGGTGTTCAAAGCACCATAATCGCTGTAACCTCTGCATGGATTGGGAGGCGGCATACTGGGTGTTTGAATCCTCGGTAATCCGGAAGTGATGCCAAACATCTATGCCAAAGTCGGGTCATAGCATCCTCACTGTGGCACAAGGTTCATTGCTGTTGCAGCTTTACAGCGTCTCGATCAATGCGCGAGTGTCATGACTATAAGCCAACAAATGAAGGCCCATATCAAGTTTCCCTAGATAGATGGCGCCACGGGCTTAGAAACATTCAAACATTTCTATTCAAGCTTGGGAAGCACCCTCAATGTCCGTGTAGTACTAACCCAAAATCCTGGTTTAGAGTTCCATGTGAGAACCCACCTTTGGATGAAGATAGTAATTAGGAGCTCCAACATGAAATTCATGGTTGTTATTTTTTCACACCGTCTACAGTTTGAGTGTAGTTGAAATTGTACGACATCGCCAAACCGCCGCCTTCCTGAGGGTGACGGCGTCGCCCCACGTCATTTTCCTCGCAAGCCACACCTGTAAAGCAACCAAGGCTGCGCTCAACGAATGGATGTAAAGCGTTTTCGTTCGGTTGGGCCAAGCCTAACCAGACTGCAAATACCAACCAGGGCGCAGAAGGACCTTCGGCGTCGCACCAACCAATAGCGGTCGCACGCATGGCGCCTACCCAAACCCCCCCAGCCAAGAGAGCCGCCAAATCCCATCGCCCCCATCCACCCACCAAGCGCTGTAGCACGCCTCGCCCCTCCCTCTCCGTCCACAAGTGCGCCCAGCCCAGGTCTTTGACCGCCGCCTCCCCGCCAATCCACCCACCGCCATCGCAACTTGATTCCCAACCCAACTCTCCACACTCGCGTCTCTCCAATTCGCCCCTCCCCTCATTCCATTTGCTCCAATCATTCCCAGTTCCTTCTTTCCAGCAATCGAACGAAATCCACCATCATCCACCCACCCTGAGTGTGAGCAATACCTGCCTCGTAGGTGCTCAATGATTCTTCCCTTTCGCACGCAGCATTCTATCCCATAGTTGCTACGGGATTCGGCAAGGAACAATCATGGCCGACCCGCCCAGTAGTTCCGAAGGCGATACGGTAGTTACTGTAGAAGATGCGTCCCTCCGCAGTACCGCTGCCCCTCCCCCCGACGCAGCGGCGTCGCCCGACGCCGAATTCCCCGCGATGGCGGAGTCGCCGCAAGCCGCGCACAACGAATCCCGCCCGCGGTGCGGGTGCACGCCGCCATGCGGATCCGCGGACTGCGACCGCGTGCTGTGTCTGCCGGGCGACCCGAAGCAGCAGCACCGGTGGCGGTGGGCGCTGGCGGGCATTCTGCTGCTCTTCGTCGTCGGCGTCGCCACGCTCGTCACGCTGCTCTTCACCCTCAAGCCCTCCTCCTCCTCGCCCTCGCCCTCCTCCACCTCAACGTCCGGCGCTGCCTCCGAACTGAACGCGTCCGCCATTCCCAAGGATCCCATCATCTCTCTCAACCAATCCGCTGCCCCGCCGGACAATTCTTCTTCGCCCGCCCCAGCCGCCCCACCGCCTCCCGCGGACGATCCCATCCCCATGCCCGACCTGTCGACGCTCACGCGCCCGTCGCAGGCGCGATTCGAGGGGAGGGAGGGGGAGTGGAGTCAGTTCAACTGGACGGAGCTGTACGTGCAGAAGCAGACGGATCGATACCACACGTGCGACAACGAAGGTAGGGCGCGCGACGAGCGACACTAAGGTAGGGCGAGCGACGTGCGCGACACATTTAGAACGAGGAGACGAGTGAAATGTAAGGAATCGTGCGCAAAGCAAGTCTGGAAAGGTCTTTGACTGCACTCGAATCCTGTCGCTCCCGCACGAATTCCCACGCCTCACTCTCGTCGCTCGCCGTAGCAAGTGCGTCGGCGAGATCCATGGCTGATTGAAATAGGAAAGATCGATGGAAATTGACATGCGCGGCGTGGGTGTGTGCGTGCGTGTGTGCGTGCGTGCGTGCGTGTGTGCGTGCGTGCGTGCGTGTGTGCGTGCGTGCGTGCGTGCGTGCGTGCGTGTGTGCGTGCGTGCGTGCGTGTGTGCGTGTGTGCGTGCGTGCGTGCGTGCGTGCGTGCGTGCGTGCAGGGTACGACTACGTGTACGTGCGACCCAACTTCACCACCATCACATGGAAGGGCTGGGGCACCTCGCTCGCATGGTGAGACACGGTGATGCTTGGTGAGACAAGGCGATGCATGGTGAGATACGGTGATGCATGGCGAGGCATGGCGTTGCATGGCTAGACATGGTGATGCATGGTGAGGCATGGAATTGCATGGCGAGACATGACATTGTATGGCGAGACATGACATTGTATGGCGAGACATGACATTGTATGGCGAGACATGGCGTTGCGTGGTTAGACATGGTGATGCATGGCTAGACATGGTGATGCATGGTGAGGCATGACATTGCATGGCGAGACATGGCGTTGCATGGTGAGACATGGAAAGTTATTAACATGTCTTCCAATAAACTTCCTTGCATCCTCTCCAACCCTCACTCCCACCTCTTGCATCCTCCTCGCCCATCCCTTTTCACTCCCCCTCACCCACCCATCCAAACCCCACCCTCCCTCTCCCCCGCGCCCTCCCCCTCCCGCGCGCGCAGGTGGGCGGACCAGGCGGGGGAGCTGTCGGAGTGGTGCATGGGGCGGCTGGTGGAGCTGGTGTTCCACGCGGACCGGGGCCTGGGGCTGTCCATGGCGCGCTACGCCATCCCGGGCGGCTTCAACGCCATGTTCTCGCCGGGCATCGCGCGCACCAAGCACCCCCTGCACGGCTTCAAGGACGGCCCCCTCGCGCCCTACAACTGGTCGGCGGACGCGGGGCAGCGGCGCGTGATGCTGGCGGCGAAGCAGCTGGGCGTGCAGCACTTCGAGGCGATTGCCTACTCGCCGCCGTGGTGGATGACCATCAGTGGGGACACCGCAGGCAACGAGGACGGGAAGCCCAACATGCGGCCGGAGCAGCGCGGGGCGTTCGTGCAATACGTGGTGGACGTGATGCAGCAGTACCGTACCAACCCCGCGTGGAACATCACCTTCGAGCACATCAACCCCTTCAACGAGGCGCTGGAGGGGTGGTGGCGCGCGGGCCGGCTGCGGGAGGGGTGCTCGGTGAGCGTGAACGACGTGGACGTGGTGGTGGCGCTGCTGGCGGACGCTCTGCAGGCCAGCGGGCTGCCGACGCGCATCTCAGTGGCGGACTCGTGGGTGGCGTACACACTGCGCAGCATCAAGTCGGAGACGGAGGCGCTGCGGCCGGAGACGTGGGAGAAGGTGGACCACATCTGCGTGCACGGGTACCAGTCGAAGCACTTCCCTGAGTCGTGGCAGATCGGCGTGCAGTACAAGGACATGCGTGACTCAGCTGCACGCATTGGCAAGGAGGTGTGGCAGTCGGAGTGGGGTCCCATTGACATCTATGGCACGGACCTGCAGCTCGCCATGTACATGGCACGCACGGCCACAGAGCACATCAACATCATGGGGGTTGCTGCCTGGTACTACTGGATGGCTGTGGAGCCAAACACCCACGGGTGGGGTCTCATTCGGTTTCTGGGGGATTGCGGAGAGAATGTGGAGAGCATGAAGCTGACGTTCAGCAAGCAGTACTATGTGATGAAGCACTTCACTCGTGCTGTGCCCGTGGGGGCACGCATTGTGGTCATGGAGCAGAAGTGCGAGCACGGAGTGGTGGTGGCGTACAGCCCGCAGCACAGGCGTCTGGCGATCCTGGTGACCAACCAGTCGTTCAAGGACTTCCTGCTCACCCTCAGACTGCTCGACTTCCTCCCTGCTGACCCGTCTGTGCCCGTGCTGATGCACGTGCACCGCACGTCAGTGAAGGAGGACTACGAGATGGTTGACCAGATGAACGTTAAGGTGCCGGGTAACGCTACCGCCTTATCGACTGACATCACCATCAATGCCGTCCCCATCTCCCTCACCAGCATCACGCTCTATGAAGTTGTCCCAAAGCCAGACATCGAGATCAAGCAAGCGGTGTAGCTCTCCTACACATGGCTTTTTATGCGAGCATGTATATGACCTGGCTCATGCCTTGTGAGCTATTTGATAGGCTTAGGTGTTTTGGTGACCATCTTTGTAGGTATGTCGGAATGGAAGATGTAGTTCAATAAAGTGTTTACCAATATATGCATAAAATTGATTCGTTTTGAAGTTTAATACGTGTTTTTGATCCAGAATGAATAGGGCTATTACTGGAACAAAGCCTCGCACAAGATGCCAACAACGAATCGTGACCAGAATGTTCGCGGCAAGAATCCATAGTGGAGCACGACTTCGACACGCGGCGAATTGCATTGGTTACAGGCAATACATTGGGCCAATAGAAGCGCAGCGCCGAGAGGAAAGAGCACTGTCAGCTGTAGCGCTGACTAGGCAATGGTGCAGGCCACCTTGTGCGTGCGCCCGTCCAGGGCTTGCGCGTGTGAGAAAGGATGCGCAATCGCAAACACCAGCCTTCGCACGGGTGATCGTGGCGGGGACGCGAAGGGTGGAGGGAAATCAGACGGTTTGGAGGGGGGAAAGAACGGGGGGATGGACACAGCTAGCGGGAAGACGACCAGCGACCGAGACAAATCCACTTGGGGTGCAACAGATTGCGCGGGCAGTACAGAAGCCAGTGTAACGATAACTCGAACCATTTTGATGCACGCGACAGGAGTGGCGTTTGACAGTGACCATCAACAACCCTTTCTGTTTCCAGTTGCTATTGTCGAATCCGCTACTTCTGATCGAGAGGTCGCAGCGCTCACCTTCACGGGATCTAACCACGGTCTCATCACTTAGTCGAAACGACATAATTCTGCAGCACAAGATAGTTGTGCTGCCATCGCGATATCTCGAGCGCTTGCCGATCGCCGCCTTGTGTTATTGTGGACGGTGATTTTTAAACGCTTAATTATATATACCTCGAAAAAATGGCAGCTTTGGCGTTGGGCCCTCAGCTGGCAACAAGAAGCACGATGAGCGCAATTTGCTCGCCATGTCATGGAGCCTCCTCTCCCCGCCCGCCAACACTCGCGGCTGCAACATTCTCCGCCGCACCACACTGCGCGCTTCCCGTAGGCCGCCCTTCGCTCCCGCGCTCTCTCTTCCTCCACCCCCGACTCTCTGCGCCTCGCCAACCTTGCCTCCGCCCATCCCGCCCCATCCGCGCACCTCCTCCCGCGGCTGCGCTCGGCGGGCTGGGCGCGGTGTACGGGCTGGGCGCGGTGGACGGGCAACTCGCGGACGCGCTGCTGCACGGGTGAGTGCCGCCCGCTGCCCGCTCTTGCGCCAGCCATCCTCGTCGCATTAGCGCTTTATGCAGGTGGGGGAGCTGACGAGTACGCCATCATTTTCCAGTGCTCGGCGGGTCGTATGTCGCTTGGCGCGCAGCGCATGGTGGTCGTAGCCTCGTCGGCATTGCGCTCGTCACCAACCCACCCCTCCCTGCGCTGCGCCCACATCCTCGTGCATCGCAGGGTGCCGCTGGGCATGGACGTGACTATAGCGAGCGTGCATCACGAGGTGGCGCAGCTCGCGGCGTCCGCCGGCATTCCGCTGGACGACCCCGTGAGTGCCCTCGCGCCATCGCGTCTCCTCTTTCCGTCCCCTTCATCCGCAATTCGCGCGTCGTTGCGCCTCTTGCTTGCGCGCTCACGTGCTGCGGTGTGTGCGCGTGACAGGTGGCGCTGCGCGAGTGGATCGCGTCCGTCGCGCTGCTGCTGGCGTATGCCTCCGCGCCGCCCTCCGGCCCCATGGGCCTCCTCGACTTCCTCGTCGCGCCGCTCCATACTGTCACCTTCAGGTACAGTCACACCGTCGCCTTCAGCTACAGTCACGCCGTCACCTTCAGGTACAATCACACCGGCACCTTCATGCACAGAGACGCGAGCGTGCACAGAGACGCGAGCGCGCACAGAGAGGCGAGCGCGCACAGAGAGGCGAGCGCGCCACCATCCATGCTGCACTGCGCGCACGCGGCCGAACCCCCCCTTCCCGAGTCCCCAAACGCCCCTCCCCATGGCCCGACTCCCCCCGGCAGGCGGTTCTCACCTTCGGAGGTGAAGGTGGGGCGGCAGCTGGGCCACGGCAACTTCGGCGTGGTCTACGAGGCCACCGTCACCGGCCCGCGCGGGCAGGCGCAGCGCGTGGTGGTGAAGCGCAAGGCGGCGGGCGCGGGCGCGGACGAGATGCAAGACGTGGAGCTGTTCATGAACCACCGGCTGCAGGTGAGCTGTTCATGAACCACCGGCTGCAGGTGAGCTGTTCATGAACCACCAGCTGCAGGTGCGGTTGAGAAGATGTTCATGATTCACAGGAGCCAAGCCGCACTTGGCACATAAGAAGTTGTTTAACCACCGCGGATAGATGCTGCCCGCTGATGTGCTCATGTGCACGGTTACCTGGTTACTCAATCGCACTCGAGTGTCTGTCTTTGCGGTATTGCATGCTTGTGCGTGTATGGATGCATGGTTGGATGGGTGCATGGGTGCATGGGTGCATGGTTGGGTGTATGTGTGCATGGATGCATGGATGCATGGGTGCATGGGGTCATGGGGTCATGCATGCATGCAGCGCACGGTGCCAGGAGTGGCGGCCAAGTTCCTGGGGACGATGGAGGTGCAGCCAGGGAACAAGCTGCAGGAGGTCAGTCAGCACGTGCTCGTCACCGCGTGCCACCCATCGCACTCGCTCCCGCACCTCTCGTGCCATGTTGTGCATGTATGCGCTCTTCTCTGCATGCATGAAGGAGCCGGCTCTTCACTGCCTCTTGCCCCGCTGCCCTTCCCCCTGCTCTGCGTGATGTATGGTGTATGGTGCGTGCTGTGTGGTGCGTGCGTGGCTGCAAGCAGGGCGTGTGGTTGGTGTGGCAGCACCAGGGCGACAGCACGTTGGACCGGCACCTCAAGGACCGCCAGTACCCCGCACCGCTGGCCGCCATGCTGCTGGGCGTGCAGGGGGACGCGGGGGGGTGGTCGGAGGAGCAGCGCATGTGGGCGGAGTGGCAGGTGGCGCAGACCGTCATGCGCCAGATCCTCTCCAACCTCCAAGCCCTGCACCACGCAGGTCCGCCCCATGCCCCTTCCCTCCCTCGAAGCCCCCCTTTCCATGTGCTCTTGCTTGTCGACGTGCTGCTCTGTCCACCTTATCGATGCACGCATGTGCACCCCATTCACTGTGTATTATGTGCCATGTGCGTGGTGAACGGGGTGTGGGGCGGGACATGTGGTTGCGCATCACAGGCGTGGTGCACAGGGACGTGAAGCCGGCCAATCTGGTGGTGGACGAGGCGGAGCGCCACCTCTGCCTCATCGACCTCGGCGCCTGTGTTGACCTGCGCTCCGGCCGCAACTATGTACGTCCCTCCGCCCCTCACTGTGTGCGCCGTGGCTATTAACGTCCATGCGTTGTGTGCACACCGTAGTTATTCATCCCACCCTCTCATGCACCACTGCCGCTCTCTTCACCCGTGCCATCCGCATGCCGCCCTCCCACCCCCGCAGGTACCCAGTGAGACGGTGATGGATCCCAAGTACGCCGCCCCCGAGCACTTCGTGTGCCATTGTAACGACGTGACTCTTGAGTCCACTCAAAAGCCCTCCCCTCCCCCTCCCCTCCCCTCCCCTTCCCTCCCCCCCAGGTGCCCAGCGAGACGGTGATGGATCCCAAGTACGCGGCCCCTGAGCGCTTCGTCATGCCGCCCGCCACGACGCCGCACCTGCCGCCTGACCCGCTGGCGAGCCTGCTGTCACCCTTCCTCTGGGTGGCCAACTCGCCCGACCGCTTTGACGTCTTCTCCGCTGTACGCCCCTCCACCTACCTCACCTCCCCCCCCCCATGCCGCCTCCGCTGTACGCAACTCACCTTCTCTTCCCACTGCCTCCAGTATGATAAACTCCTCATCCCACTTACCCTTGCAATGCCTCACTTGCTCCATGTCGTCCTTCCTTCCCCCCATGCTCACAGGGCGTGGTGCTGATGCAGCTGTCCCTCAAGTCGCTGCGCCATGAAGCCAACCTGGTCAGTGCACCCGCCCACCCCTCCCACCCGCCCACCCCTCCCACCCGCCCACCCCTCCCACCCGCCCATGCCTCCCATCCGCCCATGCCTCCCATCATCCGCCCATGCCTCCCGCCATGTCATGATCCCATGCCACACCATACCCTGCCATGCCCTGTTTTCTAAAGCTCTGCGTGTCTGTGCTGTGTGCCTAACGCCTGCATGCACTGTGCTGTTATGTGCCTCTGTGCTTGGGTGACATGCTGTGCCGTACATGCATGGGTGGCCGGGTTGGTTCCACCAGGAGGGGTTCAACAACGAGTTGAAGCGGTGCGACTACGACCTGAGCAGGTGGCGGAAGAAGTTCCGCCCCTCCAACGCTGACATGGCGCTGCTCGACGCGCACGGTATGCTGCTGCCGCTTCACCCCTGTGTGTGCACAGCATGCCACAGCATGCCACAGCATGCCACAGCATGCCACAGCATGCCACAGCATGCCACAGCATGCCACGCCACTGCTCTGATGCGAATCTGCCATGAGTTGCGTGCATCTGTTTCGATCACCGTCTCAACTGCCCATCCTCGCCTACTCAACCCCCCTCCCTGGACCTCCGGCCTCGTGTCCTCCTGCGCTGTCATCTGCTTGTGCGTGTGTGTGTGTGGCCTGGCAGGCGGAGCGGCGTTTGACTTGGCAAAGCAGCTGCTGCAGAAGCGACCCAACCACGACCATGCCGTGTGGCCCAGCGGTGCGTTGCGCCTCTGCCCTCACTGCCTCGCACTGCCTCGCACTGCCTCGCACTGCCTCGCACTGCCTCGCACTGCCTCGCACTGCCTCGCACTGCCTCGCACTGCCTCGCACTGCCTCGCACTGCCTCGCACTGCCTCGCACTGCCTCGCACTGCCTCGCACTGCCTCGCACTGCCTCGCACTGCCTCGCACTGCCTCGCACTGCCTCGCACTGCCTCGCACTGCCTCGCACTGCCTCGCACTGCCTCGCACTGCCTCGCACTGCCTCGCACTGCCTCGCACTGCCTCGCACTGCCTCGCACTGCCTCGCACTGCCTCGCACTGCCTCGCACTGCCTCGCACTGCCTCGCACTGCCTCGCACTGCCTCGCACTGCCTCGCACTGCCTCGCACTGCCCCACACCGCCTCTGCCCACCGCCTCTGCCCACACTGCCTCACTGCCTCGCCCTCCCTGCTGCCTGTGTTTGTGTAGAGAGTGGAGTGGAGCCGTGAGTGCATGTTGAAGTGCCATGAATGAACCCTCGCAGTTGCCATCACACAACGAATGCCCTTGTATCAGACTAAAGTACACTTTCACTGAGAGCTACAACGCATGTGTCACTCGCCCTCTAACTTCCCTCTCTCCCTCCCCTGCTTCCCCCCTCCCCACCTCCCCCCTCTCCAGTGTTTGGCATGGGGCGGCCTTCAGCAGGCCGCGCCCTGCGCCACCGCTTCTTCTCCCTGCACCCCCCTCAGCCCTTCCGCCTCCCCCGCTCCCCCCCCTCCGCCACGCCCGCGTCCGCCCCCGCCACCGCTGCCCCTGCTGCTGCTGCGCCCGCCACTGCCCCCTCTGCTGCTGCCAGGCGCAGCATGGCGGCCCCTCCTGCTGCCCCCGCTGCTGGCGGCGCTGCTGCTGGGCGCGCGGGCAAGGGGGAGAGGGCGGAGAGGGCGGAGCATGGGGAGAAGGGGGAGAAGTTGCAGGTTGGGGAGGATGCGCGGGGGAGACACAAGGACGTGGGGCGGAAGAAAGGCCTGGGTGCTGTGGAGGTGGCGGGGGGAGGTGCCAAAGCAGGCGAGAGGAGTGATGGCGTGAGAGGGCGAGGGGAGGCAGGCCGGGCACGAGGGGATGTGCGAGGAGGGAAGGAGGCAGCGGCACAGGGAGGGGGTGCGAAGGAGGGCAGTGAGGTGGGGAAGGGGTTGCTGGTGCATGCTCTCAAGGCCGTGGTGCCGCCTCCCATCGCCCTGCACCCCCAGCCCCCCCTGCACGCCCCCACTGGTGGCGGGGCCAAGGCAAGGCGGGCAGCACCGGGTGACAAGGCGGGGCAGGTGGCAGGCAGGGGGGACGCGGAGGGCGCAGAGGGGGAGAGCAGCAGGGGCAGGGTGGCAGGCGTGAGGGCGAGGGGGGAACGCGGGAGGGCGGGGAGCAGGCCAGTGGATGTGGCGGGGGCGGTGAAGCGCGGGCACGTGGCGACGGCGTACGTGCTGGGGTCGCTCGTGGCGGGGCTGGCCCGCTCGCTGGATGATGACAAGAGCCGCGGCGGCGGTGAGGGGGATGCAGGCGTGAGGCATGGTGTGGCGGGCAGCGAGGCAGAGGTGGATGAGGGTAAGGAGGCCACGGGAGGAGGTGGGAAGGAGGAGAGAGATGGGGGCAAAGGGGAGGTAGAGGGCAGGAAGGACGGGATGGAGAGGGAAGCTGGGCGTGTGGTGCGCGGTGGTGCAGAGAGGTCAGGGGCGCGGGCAGGAGGCGATGGGGCGGGGGTGCAGATGGGCAAGGGGAAGGCAGTTGAGGGGGGGGGCAGGGGGCGGGATGGGGGGGGGAATGAGGGGGGCGTGGGAGTGAGTGTGGCAGTGGGCATGGCGGAGGTGGGGGTAGCAGCAGCGGGTGCGACAGCGACGGCAGTGATGGCAATCGCGTCCTCCGTGTGGCGCGACATGGCCACCCCCTCGCCCGCCCCTCCCACCCCCACTGCCCGCAGCAGCCCTGTGCCAGCAGTGGTGGAGACCAGTGAGCAGGGCAGTGGGAGGAGGGGGAAGGAGAGGGAGGAGCAGGAGAGGGTGTTGCAAGAGGCAGTGGAGGCAGCAGTGGAGGAGCGGGAACGGATTCTGAGGGGGGTTGGGGAGAGAGAGGGCGGCAGGCAGCTTGAGGGGTCGCCTGTGGAATTGCATGCAGTGGTGGGAGGTGGCGAGGGAGGGGAGTATGTGGGGGGGTTGGGAGTGGTGGCTCGCGAGGGGCGTATGAGGCGGCAGGTGGAGCGGCAGGTGATAGCAGAGGAGCTGCTGACGTCAGTGGGCGAGCTGGGGGTGCAGCTGGGGTCGCTGGAGGAGTCGCTGCAGGCGGGCTGGCACGTGGCGGCAGAGCAGCAGCACCTGCTCACCCGGGTCAGTGCTGTGAGAGCCACACTTGCCAAGCCCAGAAAGTGGTTACCAACCTGTCAGGGATGCTCTACAACTTGTGGCTTATCACTGCTTCACTCGCCCTGTTTGTCTTCTCCCCTTTTGATCTTTCAAGTGCAGATGGAAAAGCTTCTTGTGACTCCATCAACCCATAAGCATGCGGCCTCTCCCACTGTGAACCCCACTGGTGTGCCTTCAGTCCACAACAGCATGCCATTGCTACAAGATGCGTGCCAATATGACGGGACTGAAAAATAGGGCAGACCGGATATTTGCCTGCACAAGCTACCTCTTTGTAGGAAAACTAAGTTACTGAATTATAGGATTTGAAACTTGACCACCTCAAATGACCCCTAAACTGGTTATGGAGCAAGTTGAGAAACTACTACCGTACCTATCACACCGACCAGCAAACAAAACTGCACGTTTGAGTTGGTTATACAAACATACCGTACCATAAATGCTGTTATCGTATAATTTAGTGTAGTACTTCAAAAGACTCACATCATGGAGTGTGAGGGAGAGTCGACACTTTTTGGGTGATGTGATGTATGTATACACCATGGAGTGGAGACGTGAGGTGAGTCGACATTTCTTTTGGGTGATGTGATACGAGTAGTCACCATGGAGTGGAGATGTGAGGTGAGTGAGTGGACACTATTTTGGGTGATGGGATGTGTGTATACACCATGGAGTAGAGATGTGAGGTGAGACTACACTTTTTTGGGAGATGTGATGTGAGTAGACACCACGGAGTGGAGATGTGAGGTGAGTCGGCACTCTTTTGGGTGATGTGATGTGAGTTGACACCATGGATTGGAGATGTGAGGTGAGTCAACATTTTTTTGGGTGATGTGATATGATGTGACTAGACACCATAGAGTGGAGATGTGAAGTGAGTCGATACTTTTGTGTGATGTGATGTGAGTAGATACCATGGATTGGAGATGTGAGGTGAGTTGACACTCTTTTGGGTGATGTGATGTGAGTTGACACCATGGATTGGAGATGTGAGGTGAGTTGACACTTTTTTGGGTGATGTGATGTAAGTAGACACCATGGAGTCGAGTTGTGAGTTGAGTCGACACTGTTTCGGGTGATGTGATGTGAGTATACACCATGGAGTGGAAATACGAGCTAAGTCGACATTTTTTTGGGTGATGTGATGTGAGTAGACGCCATGGAGTGGAGATGTGAGGTGAGTCGACACTTTTTTGGGTGTTGTGATGTGAGTAGACACCATGGAGTGGAGATGTGAGGTGAGACTTGGTAATAGGCACAGACAAGCGCAACCACGTGACCCGGCGGTATAAAAACGCTCGGAACGAGCGCTTTCAACCCCAAAACGCGGAAGGATCCGCACATGTGCAGGAAGTACAGCGGGCGCTCTTCATTCGCGAGCGCCGATGACCGATGATGCTCGCAACCCTCCCACACCCTTGCTGGCTTGGTAATAGGCCCAGACAAGCATAGCCACGTGACTCGGCGGAAGAAAAACGCTCGAAACGAGCGCTTCCAGATCCAAAACGCGGAAGGATCCGCACATGTGCAGGAAGTGCAGCGGGTGCTCTTCATTTGCGCCGGTGACCGATGATGCTCGCAATCCTCCCACGCCCTTGCTGGCTTGGTAATAGGCCCAGACAAGCGCAGCCACGTGACCCGGCGGAAGAAAAACGCTCGGAACGAGCGCTTTCACCCCCAAAACACGGAAGGATCCGCACATGTGCAGGAAATGCAGCGGGCGCTCTTCATTCGCGAGCGTCGATGACCGATGATGCTCGCAACCCTCCCACGCCCTTCCTAGCTTGGTAGTAGGCCCAGAAATGCACAGGCACATGACCTAGTGGAAGAAAAACTCTCGGAACGAGTGCTTCCACCCCGAAACGCGGAAGGATCCGCACATGTGCAGGAAGTGCAGCGGGCGTTCTTCATTCGCGAGCGCCGATGACCGATGATGCTCGCAACCCTCCCGCGCCCTTGGTGACTTGGTAATAAGTCCAACCAGACAAGCGCAACCACGTGACCCGGCGGAAGAAAAACGCTCGGAACGAGCGCTTCCACCCCCAAAACGCGAAAGGATCCGCACATGTGCAGGAAGTGCAGCGAGCGCTCTTCATTCGCGAGCGCCGATGACCGATGATGCTCGCAACTGCAGAGATAACTTTAGCAACGGGAGCTAGACTACGGGCTAGGCACGGGTGCTCGTGTGATCTCTGCGTTCGTTGGTCCTTAGGTGATCTTTGCTCGTAGGTGATTGGCGCGCACTGCTTCGTCACCTGCACAGCGCACACACCAAGTCCACCTCGTGCTGACGACTGCATCTGATGCACCACGTCGACCTCGGGATACCATCACCGAGGTCGTCCTCGCCAAACCACCTGGGCGACCTTCGCAAGCCTTCGCAGCACCTCGTCACCCAGGTAACTTGGTCGACCAGGCAACCAGGTCGACCAGAGGCTCCAGTGCGTGCCCGTCGACCACCCAGGTCAACGACCACTTCCGGTCGACCTCCCCAGGTCGACCACTATCCCCTGGTCGACCAGCTCCAAGTCGACGTCACTCCTGGTCGACCAGAAGGGCTGGTCGACTTCCTGGTTTGACCAGAAGGGCTGGTCAACGTCCCGTGTCGACGAGAAGGTCTGGTCGACTCCCCGGGTCGACCACCCGAAGTTGGCGCCCTCCCGAAGTCGGCGCCCATGCAGTGGCTCCCCGTGCAGGTCGACCAACCACGTCGACCAGCTCACCCACTGCTGCAGGTCGGCTGCACCCCTACACCCGACCAGGGAGTCGGCTCCGCCCAAGCGAGGACGGGGGCAACATCCAACTCCCATTGACAGCAACCCTCCCACGGCTTTGCTGGCTTGGCAATAGGCCCAAACAAGCGCAGCCACGTGACCCAGCGGAAGAAAAACGCTCGTAATGAGCGCTTCCAGCCCCAAAACACGGAAGGATCCGCACATGTGCAGGAAGTGCAGCGGTCGCTCTTCATTCGCGAGCGCCGATGACCGATGATGCTCGCAACCCTCCCACGCCCTTACTGGCTTGGCAATAGGCCCAGGGTAGTGCAACCACGTGACCCGGCAGAAGAAAAACGCTCGGAACGAGCGCTTCCAGCCCCAAAACGCGGAAGGATCCGCACGCGAGCGCCGATGACCGATGATGCTCGCAACCCTCCCACGCCCTTGCTGGCTTGGCAATAGGCCCAGAAAAGCGCAGCCATGTGACCCGGCGGAAGAAAAACGCTCCGAACGAGCGCTCCCAGCTCCAAAATGCGAAAGGATCCGCACATGTGCAGGAAGTGCAGCGGGTGCAGACAAGCGCAGCCACGTGACCCGACGGAAGAAAAAACGCTCGTAATGAGCGCTTCCAGCCCCAAAACGCGGAAGGATCCGCACATGTGCAGGAAGTGCAGCGTGCGCTCTTCATTCGCGAGCGCTGATGACCGATGATGCTCGCAACCCTCCCACGCCATTGCTGGCTTGGCAATAGGCCCAGACAAGCGTAGCCACGTGCCGCTGGTAGAAGAAAAAAGCTCGGAACGAGCGCTTTCAGCACCAAAACGCGGAAGGATCCGCACATGTGCAGGAAGTGCAGCAGGCGCTCTTCATTCGCGAGCGCTGATGACCGATGATGCTCGCAACCCTCCCACGCCCTTTCTGGCTTGGAAATAGACCCAGATAAGCGCAGCCACGTGACTTGGCGGAAAAAAAATCACTCGGAACGAGCGCTTCCAGCCCCAAAACGCGAAAGGATCCGCCCAAGTGCAGGAAGTGCAGCAGGCGCTCTTCATTCGCGAGCGCCGATGACCGATAATGCTCGCAACCCTCCCACACCCTTGCTAGCTTGGCAAAAGGCCCAGACAAGTGTAGGGTTTAGGGTTTAGGGTTTAGGGTTTAGGGTTTAGGGTTTAGGGTTTAGGGTTTAGGGTTTAGGGTTTAGGGTTTAGGGTTTAGGGTTTAGGGTTTAGGGTTTAGGGTTTAGGGTTTAGGGTTTAGGGTTTAGGGTTTAGGGTTTAGGGTTTAGGGTTTAGGGTTTAGGGTTTAGGGTTTAGGGTTTAGGGTTTAGGGTTTAGGGTTTAGGGTTTAGGGTTTAGGGTTTAGGGTTTAGGGTTTAGGGGTTTAGGGTTTAGGGTTTAGGGTTTAGGGTTTAGGGTTTAGGGTTTAGGGTTTAGGGTT